CCTTCCCCTCCCCTCCCCCCTTCCCCCCCGTCCCGTCCCCGCCGCCATGTCGGAGGAGAAGCCCAAGGTGAGGCGCGGCGGAGATGGAGGGCGGGCCGCGGGGCTGTCCCGCGGGAGAGCCGCAGGGGCAGGGGGTTCCCGCGGGAAAAGTGTCCGGCAACGGGATCGTCCCCGTCCTCCCGCCGCTGGGGGTGGGGAACGGCGCAAAACGTTGCGACAGCGTCCCGTGCTGAACTCCCTTTGAAGTTTCTAGTTGTTGTTTTTTGCCTTATTGCCCCAGCTGGTAAGTGCAGAACTGCGAGGTCCCCTTTTCCGTGTCCCTTGGAGAACATCCTTGCTCTGCAAGCAGGAGGGAAAGTTCCTGGCGGTGGGAGAACCTGCTGATCTCTCAGGTGCTCTGCGGGCGGCTTTTACTGGAAGCAACCCTTAACCTGCCCCTGTGCTGCCCTTTCCTTGGGGGGCTCCGTGTCCCTGCGCAGGAAGGAGTCAAGACAGAGAACGACCACATCAACCTGAAAGTGGCCGGCCAGGACGGCTCCGTGGTGCAGTTCAAGATCAAGAGGCACACGCCGCTGAGCAAGCTCATGAAGGCGTACTGCGAGAGACAGGTACTGCAGAGACAGGTACTGCACAGGCAGGTACTGCTGCGAGAGACAGGTACTGTAGAGACAGGTACTGCTGCGAGAGACAGGTACTGCGAGAGACAGGTACTGCAGAGACAGGTACTGCAGAGACAGGTACTGCCAGAGACAGGTACTGCCAGAGACAGGTACTGCCAGAAACAGGTACTGCACAGGCAGGTACTGCTGCGAGAGACAGGTACTGCTGCGAGAGACAGGTGCTGCAGAGACAGGTACTGCTGCGAGAGACAGGTACTGCTGCGAGAGACAGGTACTGCNAGAGACAGGTACTGCTGCGAGAGACAGGTACTGCTGCGAGAGACAGGTACTGCGAGAGACAGGTACTGCTGCGAGAGACAGGTACTGCCAGAGACAGGTACTGCGAGAGACAGGTACTGCAGAGACAGGTACTGCTGCGAGAGACAGGTACTGCGAGAGACAGGTACTGCACAGGCAGGTACTGCTGCGAGAGACAGGTACTGCACAGGCAGGTACTGCTGCCAGAGACAGGTACTGCGAGAGCCAGGTACTGCCAGAGACAGGTACTGCTGCAAGGGGCAGGTACTGCCGCCAGAGACAGGTACTGCAGAGGCAGGTACTGCCGCGAGAGACAGGTAGTGCCAGAGACAGGTACTGCTGCGAGGGACAGGTACTGCTGCGAGAGACAGGTACTGCACAGGCAGGTACTGCGAGAGCCAGGTACTGCCAGAGGCAGGTACTGCAGCGAGGGGCAGGTACTGCAGAGGCAGGTACTGCACAGACAGGTACTGCTGCGAGGGGCAGGTACTGCCAGAGACACGTACTGCACAGGCAGGTGCTGCAGAGACAGGTACTGCACAGGCAGGTGCTGCAGAGACAGGTGCTGCAGCGGCCACCCTGCACCTCTTGCCTCCCTCCCGACACAGCCCGGCTGTCCGGAGGTCTCATCCTCCGGCCTCCGGGTTCATTGGCTGGGTGACAGTAGGAAGCCTTAGCTCCGGAGCCTTCCGTTTCACTTCTGAAGTCCTCATTGACTTTATACAGCCTGTGCTCTCAGTTTGGAAAGTGGTGGAAGAAGAAACAGTAACACTCTGTGGCTTTGTTTACAAATCTTTTTTTTTTTTTTTCCTCTTTTTTTTCTATTTCTCACTGCTTGCTCCACAGCTACAATTGCTGCATCCTACAGGTGGCAGGAGGCTCTTTTATGTGCGTGCCTATCTGTATATATGAGACTCTGTTCTTTCTGTTTTCTTTCCTCAGCTACGTGCTCAGTCATATAGTGATTTACCCCCATAGCCCTATTCTTGAGTCCGTAGGCTCTGAAATTCTGAAGTTCTGCTCTGTATTGGGCAGCACAGAAAAAAAAGAAGGGCAGGAAGGAGAACAGCTTCCAGAAGTGGAATGAAACTGGATCTCCAGCATCTCTCTGGATCCGATCCGTGCGGGAGCCTTTCACTGCTCTCCTCAGTGCTGTGTCCTGCCCCGTGTCGTGCCTGATGTTCCCCACATGAGGAATGCGGTTCTATAAGAATTAAATACAGTATCATCTTAAAAGATGTAGGGGGAGCTTTTGCTTCCGTGTGACGGTGTGACGTGTGACTGGAAACAAGCCCGAGTAGCACAGGGAGTTCAAAGGATTTCCAAAGGCAAAGCAAAGACTTGGATCACTTAGGCAGGGAATAAAAACTGCATCACGCGATTAAGTCCTCTCATAATGTGCCTCTCTTGTGCATGCAACACAGGTTTAAGGGCAGCATTAACTCACTAACCTAACTGTAACACTTAAAAGCCCTTACGTTTTCTGTAATGACTTTTCCAAGCAATAATCTGCATAAAGGCCTGCAAGTTCTTTTTTACCTCAGGCAGTTGTTGCTTCTTGTTTGCTTTATCACAGGGTAACTAGGAGAGCATGCTTGGCACACGCCAAAGTCTTGCCACTTAAATACTGGTCATTATTCTTGATAGTTGCACAAAAAGGTGGCTGTTGCATTTTTTTTGGAAAGTGTTTTCTGTTAAGCGAACTTAGCATACTGATACTTCTTACCCTGAATGAGAAATACTTGTCCTGCTTTTCTATCCTACCCTCTGAGACCCTACGGAATTGTGTTCTCATTGATTTCATTTATATCCTGGTATATTCCTACTGGTATTTTTTTCTTCGACTTTTCCCTTTCTTCCTTTCTGTCATCCTAGAACTTAAATGTTGCCGCTGACTTTTGACATTTGTTCCTTGCGAGCAGGTACCAGAATTTAGATCAGAACCAGGTGCCAAACTAAACGCCTGTAGTTTCAGGTAGTGTCCTTGCTGTGGCAGTAGCTGCCCTGGGTTTTCAATCTAAATAGCTCTCCTTCTTTGATTTATATAGCAAGGTTTTTGCCTATTTGCATCAAATTAATATATCAAATGAATTACTTCAAACTTGCAGGGCTTGTCAATGAGGCAGATTAGATTCAGATTCGATGGACAACCAATAAATGAAGCAGACACGCCCGCACAGGTATGACGAAAAAACCCCTTCAGTTTTATTGCTATTAAAGTATCTTGATGTCATAGATCAAAGTATTTTCAGAGTCATTTTGCTTATAAAACTATTGTTTTAAGTTTAGAGTGTTCCAAATAATTTGTCTAGGCTGGGTTATATTTTTTTTCCCCGCTGTTGGTAGTGGTTTGGTGCTGAGAAAGCTGGCACTTGAGTGCCCATGTGGATAGGGCCCCTGGATAGTGCTGGAGCTCTGTCTTCTTGCTCGAGTTTCAGCCTGATTTGAGCTCTTACTGCCCCCAAAGGCTGCTGTCAGCACCAGTAATGCTGAGACCTTGGGGAATTTGTTGCATTGACAAGGCTTGTAGCAAGAACAGTAGAAACGCGTTTGGCTGAGGTGCTTGGCTTTGGAAGATACTTCATATTTGGTACTGTGTAGGAGTTGAGAACTAAATGCTCTTGGAAATAGAAATATGCTGCTGCACGTATATCAAAATTTGTATTTTGTCTTAATGCAACAGCTGGAGATGGAAGATGAAGACACCATCGATGTGTTTCAACAGCAGACGGGTGGAGCATGCTAAGAAACACTGTCCTTTCCAGAAGAGGAGTTCAAGGATCCTCATCGCGCCTCACTCCTTCATCTGTCCTTGGATTTGCTATTAAATAGTAAACAAATGAACATGCCAATCACACAGGATCCTCCGAAAACTTCAGAGGGCATTTACCAAAATTGCTTTCTTGTCTTTGACGTACTGCGTGTGCAAGTCAAAACGTTATCTGCAGGGAATATGTCTGAAATTGGGCCAATTTGATTTAAGTTCAGATTAATGTGTGTTGTCTATCTGCTGTTAGCTTTTTTTTTTTCTTTCTTTCTTTCTTTCTTTTTTTTACACCTGTGGCCTAAATATTCATCCATGTTTTAGGATGTAGAACGTCCTGGCTTTTGTTGTTCTTGCCCCACAAATCATGTAAATAATTCCATATATTTTCATGGCAACGGTGAGCTTAAAGGTTTCCTCTTATAAATCTGGCAAAGAGGAGGAAAAGAGCAGCTGACTTTTTTTTTTTTTTTTTTAAGGATGTGTTGCAAACACGATTAGTTCAGAACTCATAAGCCTATGACACAAGGCCTGTATATGCAGATATGATTCTTAGTATAGAGGCAGAATTTGAAATATTGCAAATTTCCACGTGCTTTGTTGTAGTATGAACAATTTGAATGAAATGTTCTTTTTTAAAATTTTTTTTTATGCCTAAATGAGAATTGTCCTGAATTATTGGAAATGGAGCTATGAAAGCAGCTGGTAAATCTAATGCTCACAGTAGAGCAGCAATGTTTTGTGTTAAGTCTAAAGGAAAGAAGTCTATCACTGCAACCTTACATGTTTATTGAGGTGAATTTATAACTTGGCTCTCTTTAGTACACCTCCAAAGGCTGTATCTTTCTTTCTCAATTAGTACTAGAAATATGTGGCCTCAGGTTTCTTTTTAATGCTTCTCCTTAGTAGCTAAACTTGTGCTAGAAATGAGGAAAAAAATACAGTTTTAGTGTCACCAAGCTGTCTGTGCAGAAAAGCTGTCAAGACCGTGGTAAGCAAGAAAATAGGGGTGTGTGTGTGTCTGTGTGTATATACATATATATATATATATAAAAAGAAATCTATGACAAATTTCTGCTCTACTCGCTCCCAGAACGTGTGGAATTTTAAGTGCGTTTGTGTGGTAAGTTTGAGCTCCTTGTGAAGTACGAAATTGCTCTCAAGTGATTTTTTTTTTTTTAAACACCCTGTTACCCTTCAGGCGTTGTCCGTTGCCGCCTGCCGAGCTCCTGAGCTGCCTTTTCCATTTTCCTGACCACCCTGCCCGCGCTGGATCATCTCCCGCTCGCTCAAAGCCTGCCGGAGAAACCCCTCTCCCGTTCCCCTGTTATTGTATGTGGCCTATAGGGTGTGTGTGGGGGGGTATCCTGTAGATCTCGCTGTTGATGCGCCGATTTGTACGTTATTTGATGCCCTTTCCTGTTGTATACAGTAAATATAGTTTGGTACTCGGCCTCTCGGCTCGTGCTCGCCGCGGCTGGAGCCGGGGGGAGCGGGGTTGACCTGTTGCCCCGTCGCTCTGCGCCTGCGTGCACGCCCGCTCCCCTCACCTCCCCTCCGCGCTCAGCGCCTGCGTGCCCGCCCGTCCCCCCCCCCGCTCTGCGCATGCGCGCCCGCCCGCGCTGGAGGACCCGCCCGCGCTGGAGGACCTGGCGCGCACCATAGAGGCGGAGGCGCCGGGCGGAAGTGGCCGCTGGCGGTGGCGGCCGGCGCCATGGCGGGCACGGCGCTGAAGCGGCTCATGGCCGAGTACAAGCGTGAGTGGCCCGGAGCCCGGGGCGGCCCCGGGCGGCCGTGGGGCAGCAGCGACCGCGGCTGGGGGCGGCCGTGGGGCAGCGGCAGCCTCGGCGGGTGGTGTGGGGCAGGGGAGGCCTCTGGGGGCTATGGGGTTTCTATGGCGCAGCCCTGAGAGGGAGCTGCTGTGGGGTGTCGGTGGGGCCGGGGCAGCTCCGACGGGGTGGTTCTGTGAGTCACTGGGTTCCTAGGCGGCAGAGGCAGCTCTAGGGGGGCTGTTATGGGGCATGGGCGGCTATGGGGCAGGGGGGTGGCTGTGGGGCAGGGGGCTGCCTAGGTGGTAGCAGCCTGAGAGAGTGGCTGTGGGGCATGGGAAGCTTGTGGAGGAGGGGGTTTCTGTGGGGTGGAGGCAGCCCTAGGGGGTCTGCTGTGGGGTGAATGGGTGGCTCTGCAGTTCACCCAGGTAGCAGCAGCCTTGGGGGCTGTCCATGGGGCAGGGACATATCCAGAGGAGTTTGTGGTGGGGCAGGGGGGTTCTGTGGGGCAGGGGCAGCCCTAGGGGGGCTGATGTGGGGCAGGGCACTGTCACGGGGGATGAGGACAACCCTGGTTTTAGCTGGGTGTTGCGGGGTGCCTGTAGGGCGCAGGGGTGCTGGAGAGGGACCCTGTGTGGGGGGTGGTGGGAGGGCTGGGGACAGGGCAGCACAGGGGCCTTGTGCTGGGGCCACCTCATCGTCATCCCCCTGTGCCCTGACCCCGGGCAGCCTTGGGGTCCTGTCCTGCAAAACGTGAGTGTGAGACAGGGAAGCGAAGAAGGAATAAAACTGCTTTCCTCTTGGAGGTCCTTTTTTGGTGTTTTTGAGCACTGAGTGAGTTGTTCTCGCTCTCCTCCATCTCTGGAGGCACCGTCGGACGTGGCAGTGTCCAACTCCAAGGCAGTTTCTGCTCTGTTGACCTGGAATTTTCTCCATCCCGGGAGCTTAGTCATGACATAGGGTGGAACGTCTGCTCAGGTCGCCAAATTCTTTTATTTTCTCCAAGTTTTATTTTCCTGGTGGAGCAAAATGCATCTGGGGTTGCCTCTGCTTTCTTACAGCTTTCTTACCTGGGAGAGGGTTAAGGTGCTTGGACGAGAACTTGATGGAATCCCTGAAGTGAGGAAAATGTTTGCGGTAGAGTTTGGTGGTGATCAACATAGATTTATTTGTTAAAATAAGGAGGTGTGACTTGTGGAGAGATCCCCAGCTGGAGAAATCTGCTGTGCCCGGTGAGAGGTATTTCTCCTGGCTGATCCCACCAGAGGGAGCAATAAGGCTGCTTCATTTTTCCAGCATCCGTGGGGAACGCGCAGCGGATTCCTGCAAGGCCAGCCCGGATCACCTCCTTAGCCGGTGCCAGGGTTTCTCCTGCGAGGAATACAGTGCTTTTTCATTGAGCTAGTTGTTCTCAGCTCTTGAAATGTGGCTTTTATAGAAGGTAAGGAGGCAGAATAGGAACTGAAACAGGTTGTGTCTTTGCTAGGTGGGAGCAGTTGCTCCTGCAAATGCTGTTGCTCCTGTTGGTGCCGTTGCGTGGGTTAAGCTCGTGCTGACGCTGTGTCCTAGAAACCTGCATTTTTCTATCGCCGTCCAGAAGCCCACAGCTGAAAGCAGGCAGCAAAAAAAGCCCTGGCTCTGCTTTTGTCTCCTCGATAAACCCGGCTCGGTCCGCACAGGCGGGTTTTGATCCTCTGTTGTTGAGCAGCTCTGCGATCTCGCTGAAATATCCCACAGGAATGAATGGTTCAGGGATGTAGCATCAAAAGAAAAATGGATTTAATGTTCAAGGGAGGTGTTATGTGAATCATCCCTGAATAGCTGCTGGTGCAACTCGCCCCGGGAGCTGAGGTGATATCGTGTTTCTGATCTTGTTCTCTAATTTCCCAACTTTAGTGCATTGCTACAAAAAAAGTGGATACAACCCATGGTGTCTAGCTGTACGATGCTTATGGAGACCTGAGTTTGGGAAACAGAGAGCGCCTAAATACTCGGTTTTAGTTTAGTTTGGGCCTTTGTCTTCTGCGTGTGTGTCTGAGTTTCAGCCTGCTGGAGCTTAAATGCCCTTTGGAGCATTGCTGTGAAATTAGTGTTTCCCCTTCCTTGGGGATAAGGAAAGGAAGATCTTTAAGGGGCTGTGGGTAGCCACAGAAGATAGACTCATTTTTTATCCCTGTTCAGACACATTTTTTGGAGTGTCTTGATTTATTTACTCTTATTTATATAGGTCCCCTACCTATTTGTTACAGCGTTCAGTGAAAATAAGAAACCCTGACTTAACTCCTATTAGGGCATAGGCTTTAGGTACTTATTCTAAATTTAAAAATATGGTGTTAAAATCTGAAATGAGTCTCTCGATAGGTGCTTATGAAAGTTTAGCAATGGAAACCCTCTTTTTACCCCTGCCACTGGCTTGCTGCAAAATCTGAAATCTGAGGGTGTTTCCTGCTGCCTGTTTTGGCCCTTGCCTGTGGATGGGATGGAGGGATGCCTAGGGCCTCGTTGCCTTAGGTGTCCCTGTCTGTTGTGATCAGGAGACGCTCAGTCGGGGAAGAGGGAATAAAATAGGAATTTGGTGCAGAGTTGGAAGAAAAAGATGACGTTTTCCAGCATCTCAGTCCAGATCCATCAGGTGCTGATGCACGGATGCTGTCCCTAATGTTTCATAGAATCACAGAATCCCTAAGGTTGGAAGGGATCTTTGGAGATCCTCTAGTCCAGCCCCCTGTGCACACAGGGTCACCCAGAGCACGTGGCACAGGCTGCATCCAAGTGGCGTTGGAAGATCTCCAGAGAAGGAGACTCCACAGCCTCTCTGGGCAGCCTGTGCCAGGGCTCTGTCACCCTCACTGGACCGGTTGTCCAGTGTGTCCAGGTCCCTCTGGATGGCAGCGCAGCCCTCAGGGCTATCAGCTACTCCTCCCAGTTTGGTGTCAGCAGCAAACTCGCCGAGGGAGCACTCCAGCCCTTCATCCAGGTCGTTAATGAATAAGTTGAACAGGACCGGACCGAGGACCGACCCCTGGGGGACACCACCATGCTGGCTACTCCTGAGCACCTTCTTGTCCTCCATGCACTTGGAGACAGCAGCCAGCATGACCTGTTCCATCACTTTTCCGGGGATGGAGGTGAGGCTCACTGGCCTGTAGTTGCCCAGGTCCCCCTTCTTGCCCTATTTGAAGACTGGTGTGACATTTGCCTTCTTCCAGTCAAAGAATCACAGAATGGTTAAGGTTGGAAGGGACCTCTAGAGATTATCCAGTCCAAACCTCCTGCTTCAGCAGGCACACTCAGGACATGGAGCGCAGGGCGGCATCCAGGCAGGTTTGGAAGATCTCCAGAGAAGGAGCCTCCACAACCTCCCTGGGCAGCCTCTTCCAGGGCTCTGGCACCCTCACTGTTGAGAATTTTTTCCTTAAGTTCCTGTGGAACTTTTGGTGCTTCAGTTTGTGGCCACTTCCTCTACTTCTGTTGGTGTCCACCGCTGAAAGGAGGCCGGCCCCGTCCTCCTCACTCCCTCCCTTGAGGTATTTGTAGACACTGATCTGATCTCCCCTCAGCCTTCCTCAGGCACCTCTCCCTTTCTCCAGGACGTTTCAAAGATGATGGCGAGCGGCTTAGCTAGGACATCCAGCAGCTCACGCAGCACTCTGGGGCGCATCCCATCAGGGCCCATGGTCTCGTGGGTACCAAGTTGCCCCAAGTGCTACCTGACCTAGTCTTCCTCTACCCAGAGCAGGTCTTCTTCTCTCCAGGCTTCTTCACTTGTCCCTAGGTCTGGGATTCCTTGGTAAACACTGAAGCAAGGAAGGCATTCAACAACTCTGCTTGCTCTGTGTTTTTCTTAGCCAGGGCACCCACCCCGTCCAGCAGCAGACCCACATTCTCCCTAATCTTCCTTTTGCCAGTGATGTATTTAAAGAAACTCTTCATGTTGTCTTTAACATCCCTTGCCAGATTTTGTTGCAAATGTGTCTTAGCTTTGCTTGTCGCATCCCTGCATTCCCTGACAGTATTCCTGTATTCCTCCCAAGGGGCCTGTCCTTTTTCCCTCATTGTGTATGCTGCCTTCTTCTGTTTGAATTTTGCCAGGAGCTCCCTGCTCATCCACACAGGCCTCCTGCCCCTTCTGCCTGACTTCTTACTCACAGGGATGCTCTGATCCTGAGCGTGGAGGACGTGCTGCTTCAGTACTGACCAGCTCTCTTGGGGCTCCCTTCCTTCTAGAGCCCTAGCCCGTGGGATTCTTCCAAGTAGGAAATTTCCCGAGTCTTATGTGTTTTGTAGCTTTGGAGATGGCCCAAATTGAGACAGTTTTGGAAAGCTGCTGAGCTCTTTTAAGGACGTGATCTGTCATTCCAAATCCCTGTGGGCTTCTCCAGGGTGCACCTAAAGCACCAGCAGTCCCCAAACCCCCAGTTCTTTGTGACTCTGCTGCTCCTTTGTGTCCCGCAGAGACTTTCCTTTTTGTGATATCTTTTCCCTTTACCTCTTTCAAATACTTTATTTTTTTACTTACAACATCCCTTCCCTGGCTTCCGTTTTGAACCTTTACCCATATTGTCTCCTAGTCCATCAGCCTCGCGGAGGTGCCCGAGAGGACGTTGCTGCTGACAAACTTGTTCCAGGAGAAACCTGAGCTCACCTGCTGGTAGGATAATCCAAGGGCCCTATTGGGAGCCTGTTAATCTCCTGCATCCTGTTGTTCCTAACACCGGTGACTAGTCCTGTGTAAAATTCAAGCGTTGCAAGGCTCGGGTGCAAGCAGGTCCACCACCCTAGCAGCTCAAGCACCCAGTTGTAGTGCTCTGCAGGAGTTTCAGGTGAGGATGACAGATTTGTGGTGCCAGCTTGTGGCAGGAGGGCTTTTCCAGTGCTCCCTGTCTGGGAAGGCTCAGCTCCACATGTCCCAGAGATCATCGTGAGGTTCAACTCACCTGAGGTTTTTCTCCTGGGCCTAAAGTTGGAGAGATTGTTTTATAGAAACGGCCACAAGATGGAGCAAAATAGTTCCCAAGTTTCCCATCTCCCTATTAATTTTAAAAACCATGTACGGCAAAAGCTGTTCAAGAGACCCCACTCTCCAGCTGGAAAAACCTGCTCTTTGATGCCGTGATTCTCGTTTTTGGGATGCAGGCTGCACCCACGATGCCGAAGCTGAATCTGCCCCTGCATTTCTGAACTTAACCGAGTGAACGCCGGAGTTAATTGCGTTCTTGGCGACGAGTTTTGCCCTCTCTCCTGTCAACCTATCTCTGTGGTTTCTGAAACCAAAACCCACGGAGCTGTTTTGAGATGAGGATCTGGGCTCTGTTTTGTGTCGCGCTCCCTGTGGTTCTCATCGCTCAGCAAATAAGAGCTGGGGCAGGAGCCTTACTCCGTGGTTCCCGTTGTGTTCGCGCTTGTTTACGCGCGAGGTGACGCGTGCTGTGTTTTCAGGGGTTGCTTTTTGGGCGTCCACAAGTGCATGGTTGGGTAACGTTCTTCCGGATCAGCATTTCTGAGCCCTTAAGTTGGCCTAATTGCAGTCACCTCCTCTGATCTTGGCACCCTTGGACCTCTGCCTGCTCCCGTGTTGCCTGCGGGCTGCCAAACTGGTGTTCAGCTGCTAAATCCTTGGTGTGTCTGTGCCCAGGTGAACTTTGCCTTGCAAACCCTACCACCCCGAGTGGCTCCGGACAAGGGCAGTAGGGAGAGTTGGTCTTTATTTCTCTGTAGAGTGGAAAGAAATAATTGATATTTCATCCACGCACAGGATACTGCCTTTCAGGAGTCTTGCAGGGATCTCTGCTGCTCCTCCACCTTTTTGTGTTGAGTTTGGTGTTTTGCATTAAGATGTTGCCAAGGATGAATCAATGCAAAGTGCTGATGGGGACGGAAAACTCTTTCTCTCCAGGTTGTGGAGAAAATCCCCAAGCCCCAAATAATTTTGTTCAGTAACGTAAGTCTTCTATGAAGAAGTAAAATTATCAGCAGGGAGAAGCTGGGCCTTCTGGTTGTGGAGTCTTGCCCAGTAAAGCTAACAAAGTGCTCTGCCCCAGGTCTTCTCCAGCCTTCCTCCATGGGTGTCTGCTCCTGGCACCTCAGAGCTGAGCTAGGGCTGTCCAACCACCACAAAAATGTTCAGATTTGGAGGTGCCTTCACACTAACCTTGCCCGTGTTTTTCTCTTCACAGAACTGACCCTGAATCCACCAGAGGGGATAGTTGCAGGTGAGGAACCGAACAGTTTGTGCACTGTGGACTTGTAGCCTTTGCCTTCTGGTGGTCTTAGACATTGTTTTATTTTGCTTCTTTATAGGTCCCATGAACGAAGAGAACTTCTTTGAGTGGGAAGCTCTGATAATGTGAGTTAATGCTCTGATTATGTGAGTTTTTATCTGAAATCATCACTTGTTGTATGTCGTTAGTTTTCAGGAGGATAAGAACAAAAACATCCTAATTCTGCATAACACTTAGACCTGTCTTTGCATGAGAACTTCTTGTCCACCCCAGACAAGGAATTCTATTTGGGATTTAAACTGTGACAGGCTCATTGCTGGGCCAAAGTGGAGTTCCCTAGTGCTGGCTTTGTATAGCAGTTATAATAAGAAACATTCCCCGTGGGTAGTGCTGGGATTTAACAGGAACTACCATGTGGCCAACAGTGAATTATGTTCCGTGTACTGTAGGAAACGGTAAGTTGTAGGTAGATTACACAAACTTGTTGGGAACATTGCTCATCTGCAAACACAGCATGCGTTTGCTCATGTTCTCAATAGAACAAAGTATATGACTTACCAGTGATAGGAGAAATAAAAATCCATGACTAAAATCAATTTACTTATTCAGATTTCTTCTGAATTAATGAAAGGGGACAGTTCATTCAAACTTAAATCTTTAAAACCTTTTAAAATTCTTCAGACTTCACAAATGAGTTGATGCTGAGAAGGGGTTGTCTGGTGCAGTGACCCCATGTAGAAAGATCTGACTCACAAGCTGTTGTATTTTGGGAGGGTGACGAAGCCCTGTCCTCCTCCTCCTGAGCTGGTGAGGACAGTTTGCAGCAAGGTTTACACAGAATCATGGAACAGTTGAGGTTGGAAGGCACCTTAGAGATCCCCTAGTCCAACCCTCCTGCTCCAGCAGGGACACCTAGAGTATGTGGCCCAGGTCACATAACTTGAAAAGAGGCAATCTTCTGGAAAACCTTCTTGTCCAACATCTTGCATGTCTCTCCTCGTTAGCTTGCTCATCATGTGCTTTGCCTTGGGAATTTTAAATGCTTTGGAGTTGTTGAATTTCTTACAAATTCAAGTGGTAAATTGAGGGGAAAAAGAGAGACTTCTGTCACTCAGCCTTGACTGTTTATCCAAATGCCACAGTTTTGTGAGACCAGGAAGCTTCAAGGAGCTTCAAACTGCCAAGTTCACATTGAAGCTGATAATCTGTTAAGAGTTAATTGAGGATTTCATTTGCAACTTCTATTTAAGTCAGTTTTAAGTGTTCTAAGCAAAGAGAGGTGGTTTACTTTCCTTAAGGAAGGGCCAGGTGGTCCCTCTACTAGCCCCTGAGGTCACTGGCAAGAGTATTTTTGACTAATTCCAGGTAGTTCTGTCTCCTGGAAACAAAGACTTAACATAGAAATAAGCAAGTTAATTGTCCAGCCCTGCAAAATCTTAATGTTTTCTGTTCTTTAGGTGGGGGTAGTTAGCAGCCTTTTAAGCATGACCTTCGTAATGAATGACATCTCCATTGGGAAAGCTGAACGTTGTTACTTTAAACCCATGGAGATCCCTAAACTCAGTGCATTTCTTGGAGCAAAGTTGCTGTCTGTCAATACTTTCTCGTAGCAGAGATTTTGTGGTTGATTAGAGCTTTCATGGGGCATACTCCAAGCAGAACTGCTTTAATATTTAATTCATTGCCTAGAAAACATTTTCTCCGCTCCCCAGGTTTCCCATAACAAAAAGTTAAACAGAGGAGCAGCTCACAAACTTGAAAGCCCTCTAAAGTGCTGAGTTTGAGCTCTTTGTCGGTGCAAACTCAGGGGCGGAGGTGCTTTAATTTTCATTTCTGCGTTGTGTGTGTGTATATGTGTGTCATAATAAAATGATATTTTAACATCTGCTAAAATTTGAAGCTGTGGTACAATAGCAACATGTTTACCCTAAACATGTTTGGTTACTTTCATCCCTTGATGGATCTCTGTTAATAAAAAATGTTTGGGTACGTATAGACAGCAAGCTAAATAACTGGTTTGTATTTGGCTGTGATGATGTTCTGTAATGTTTTGTAATTCTGGGAATGAAACAGAAGTGCAGATGCGGAAATTAAAGCAAGATCGGCCTCAGATTTGACACAGATGAAGCATAAAAGATAAGTAAGGAGCATATTAAAGAAACAGAATAGGCATTTTTTTTCTCCTTCTCTACCCCACATTTGTATAAAGCACAATAGTCTCAAATAAGAAGGAATAGGCCCTAAGAGAGAGAAGTCTGAGATATCATCCGTTTATCAATCCGGAGGTGGGCTGGGAAATGTTACGGAGATTGATGTAAGAGCTTGACTTGGAGATAAAATAATCGCTTTTAAAATAATAATAATAATAATAATTTGCATTTCCCATGTTGTCGCCTGCAGCAGTGCTGCTGGAAATAGCACAAATGTTAAGGTTGTACCAACATGCACGCATGAAAGAAGAGCTCTTACATTCTCAAAGCAAGTGTATTTGGCCAAATCCAGAAGTAAAAGCGTGATGTAAATGCTAATCTTGTCAAAACATGTCAGAAGGGTTCCTCAAAATACTGCTTCATTCTTCAGGACCGTGTGGGCAGGCAGCATCACGCTGTGCAAGTTTGTGAATGCAGCAGGCAAAGTCCGAGGGGTTTTGTCCTCTTTGACCAGGCTGAGGAACTTCGGGAGCGCTGGCTCGTGCGAGTGCGTGCTGCTATTGAAGTTAGCTCCCAGAGACATAAGAACATATGATTGTTAAGAACTTCATTAGTTTGAAGGGTGCTTGAAAAACAGTTTAAATTGAAGCCATCTTATCAAAAAAAGAGGAACTGTTGAGAAGGGTAATTAGATCTATATATAGGCTTGCGACTTTTGTTTTATCTAGCATGGAATTCCCCTTTTTGCATCTGGTGACTGTGGGCTTGGGGCTTTTTAAGCTTCTTTTACACCTAAGAAGCCACTTACAAACACGCTAGAAGGTGTGATTATAGACTTAACTGTGCTTACGGATTCGTCTCTCCCTCCCATTTCGGCAGACCCGTGCCATCCTCTTCTTTCCTTGCCTTCATAATTAACATCCAGCTCATGGAGCCGAGAATTTCCTATCTCCACATATCCACGTGTCAACAGAGTTCTTCCTAGCATGATTTTCTCTGCATTTGGGTTCAACATCCTTACATGTGATATGGGAATAAAGTAACCTCCTGTTAGCTTCTTATATCCACACAGATGTCCTCGTCTTAGTCTCCTGGGGCAATGTAGAATCTGAATGAAACAAAAACACAAGCAGGAAAGAAAGGTTGAAATAACTGCTTGTCACAGGAACTGGGCCAGAAGGAGAGCTGGGTGCTTTGGTACCAGCTACTTAATGTCCTCCCTCCCCTTAACTGAACATCACTCTTTCAGCTCCTGCTTTGAATCCTTTCGGTGATGTTGCTGCTGGTAGGTGGACATCTCTGGAGGTTGGAGGACTGTTCTTGAACTGCAGAAGCCTACAAGTTTCTTAGTGATCCTTTGGGCTGAAAGGGGCTAAATGAAGTAAATGCTGATTGTGCAGGACTGTTTGGGTGCTCTCATAGGCTGTGTGCGAATCCTCAGCATCTCTCACACGTGGTTAATAAGGATCGTTCTCTTCTGGGAGTTTGGAAACTTTACTTGAGGTAATTCTTGCTTAATCTTCTGCACAGCCTGTTTTTTTTCTTGGAGGAATCCTAATCCGATCCTCCCGGTCCCGGACTCCGACTAGCAGCTCAGGTGAGATCATAGCATCAAGGCTTTGAAAATCTGAGGTCCTTTGAAATCTCTGTGGGACAGGTGTTGTGATTCCAAAAGGTGCTGCGCTCTTTACCTCTTTGGCCCTGGTGATAGCGTGTTTGAACTGCAAGGGATGCTGTCATGTTGGAGTTTTGGGCCCTTCTGAGGGTTTTGCAGTTGCAAACGCTGTTCTGGATTAACTCTTAATTTCTTTGAACTCGATCCCTGCAGTAACGAATGGCTAGAACAAAAGCTGTTTCCGCACTTAATATAAGGCCTAAAAATGGAGCATATTTGGTTAACGTATCTGACAGAAGAGCCCTCGAGGCTGTGGGTTTGCTCTCGAAAGAGAACATTAGACACCCACCAGCTTTTCAATGTGTGTATGTACATACTCTCAGAAGTTCAACAATGAGCCTTTAAAATGCAGCTGGCATCAAAATGCATCTGCAAAGAAACGCGTCGCCTTTACTCTCACATGCAGAATTGAGTCCTGAATAAATAGAGGAAAAACTTAGAAAGGGGACAAAAATGCTTGGGTGTTTTTTTTTTTTTTTTTTTTTAGCTTTGATTTTTGCAGCGCAAAGAAGTATTAGTCTGATTGTGCAAACAAATGCCAATATTCAGGTTTACAGTGCTTGCTACTTTTGATTATGGTTTCCTTAGCTTTACCAGTAAAGTCTTTTGAGTTGCAGAATTTAACAGAGATGAAGTTCTTGGGGCTTTAGATTTAGTCGCTCTTGTTTTTAGGTTATTGTTGCAGCCTTAACTCGTAAAGCACCATTGACCATTTGCCTTAGAAATGTTATGTTCTTACTAGCGTGGAGAGTGTGTTCGGAGGCTGAGAGGTGGAAGTACGTATATATATTTCTAAACAGTATTTTCCAGACAATATAGAGCTCTTCCTTGTGTGGAGAGCTTTCTGCTCAATGCACGAGGTTGCCTTGGCTGAGGTGTTTGGGCGATGAAGCTTGTTTACTGCCCTTTCCAATCAAGGGAGGTGGTGTTTGTTTTACAACTTCCAAATGGTCCATCAGATTTGAATCAATCATGTCCAACTAACTCTCTTGCTCATCTTCCAAGTATGTTTTGAGTAGAGAGGGTAAAATCAGTGTCTTTATATTCTCCCTCGATTGCGCTTTGAACTAGAGGGTGGAAACAAAAGGCGATGTTTGTACGAGAACCCCGGCAGAGCCATTTGTTCGCGGTGTGCATGCGAGGGAGTGAAAGCTAAATACCTGAAGCCTGTCAAGAAACACGTTTGCCCTACACCTTGCAATCACAGCCCCTGCGTTGTGTTTTTAAAACACAAAACAAACACAAAACATTGCTGTATTTTAATTTTTTTTCGCATCAGATAGCGATAAGTGTTTGTGTTATGCTCCATCCTGGCAACTTCAATCTTCTTAGCTCAATTAGATGACTCCTTGCCTAATCCTTGTTTTATATTATTACTATTTTTCTGAGCTGCAGTGTTTGACATCTCTGTCTATGCAGCATAAGAATATCTTCAAAGACACAGGGCTTCCACACCTGCCTGTGCTTTCCCTTGACGTGTAGGCTCTCAAATCCTGGAACATGCCTCGGAGCCAGATACTCCAATTATATCCCAACACACCCTGCTAATTAAGCAGTGTTGTGACCTTCCTAGTAATTTAGTGTGCAAGCTTTGATTTCCCCCTTCCCTCCCCTATCCCCTACTTGGAGTTGAGTTTAGGAGGTGTAGGGTAAGAGCGCATTAACTCTTTATCTTCTTGAGAAGACCATGATACAGCCCAAACCTAAGGTGTCTCATTAGACAAGAATTTGGGTGAAAGAAATATTGAAAACCCCGGTGAATGGCTTTTTTTTATCTCTTTCCAGGGGTCCTGAAGACACCTGTTTTGAGTATGGTGTTTTCCCTGCTGTTCTGAGCTTTCCACTCGACTATCCTCTAAGTCCTCCGAAGATGAGGTTCACGTGTGAGATGTTCCATCCAAACAGTAAGTTTGATATTTGAGAGGGGTTGGGATGGTTTTGCACAGTAAAGAAACAACGTTTTTTTGCAGCAGGACAGCTGTTGTTGCTCACTAAGAGAGTGCTTCATCTGCCTTCCTTTCCTTTTCTTGAGAATGCTGTAGGAGTGTTTGGCCGCCCAAGAGTTTCACCCTGTCATAGAGTCATGCTCCCTTGATCGTATTAATCTTCATTTATCTTTTGATCATAGTCTAATAAAGATGCCAGCAATGTGATTGTTTTCGAAGATCATTCCAGGAATACTTGAAGCTATTGCAAAAATAGTCCAAAGGTAAATGTTTCATACATGACACGACACATACATTGCAAAATGATGCAGTCTGGGTCGGCTCTTCTCCATGTTCCTCTGTGCCTGGTGTTTAAGTAGCTCAGTGCTATTTTAACACGTGAAAATCTGCTCATATTGACGTTTGGATGCGGCGTTACAGCATGGCTCTTTCTCATTAGATCAGGGGTTTAGTAACATCCTCTGATGGGATCTCTCTGAAATACAGTCTAAACAGCTGATAGATTTGTAGGCCTTTAAGATTTTATTGGCCTTTTCTTTGCAACTCTGGTGATGACAGTATCTCAGCTGTGTTATCTTAAAGCTTTTGAGTGGAAGGAATTAAAATTGCTGCAGATAGCTAACAAGCTTGAGCTTTGAACAGATGAAAACACCTACATCCCGCTTTGCAACCCCGAGCTCTCATTTCTGACGTTGGCCGTGGCAGCGTTCTTTATGAAATTGCTGCTTATCACGTCTGTTAGACCAACATTGATTGTGTAAAGTTTGTTTGCTATCACCCAGATTTGATGAGCTGGATCCATACTTCGGGCTATTAGGTCCCTGCAGCCTGCAAGCAATGAAAGGAAAACCCTGCCCTCTTGCCTAGTGTTTTCTTCCAAGCTGACATTCCTGACGCTTGCATAACATGAATCCTAATCTCAGCTGGGAATCTGTTTATTTCATCCCATTCTAAGGAATGTTGCAATTTCTTGAAGTTCTCTGGCTTTCCCTTCTGGGGACACCCCTAACACAGGTTTTTGCCCATCTTAACCCATTTATGGGCCCCTCTTCCCAGCCCCCTCTGGGGGGCACGTCTGCACCGTGCAAAACTGGTTTGGCATCACCTGTGTCCCTCAGGTGTCTACAGAAGCAGTATGGCCACATGAGCACATTGCTCCACCTGGACTCCTTCACCCAACCTCCTTGGCAGCACCCACCTCCGTGAGCAAATCCGCATCCATACAGCACTTGGATTTGCTTGTTCTGGGCCTGCCTTGAGGATCTCTGCTCGGAGCTGCCTTGCATGAGCAGCCCATGGCATAGGGCACTGTGCCCAGTCCCTGTGCTCTAGGTTGTGCTGGGGTGAATCTGAGATCACCAAAAGTAGCTGCTCAAGCCTTTCTTCTCGCTTGGGATTGGGGTGGTCTGGTTGTCCCCAGAAAGGCCATAGAAACGGACATTCTGTGCTCTTTGTGTCCTTAAATATTTACTCTGTGAGAAATTTCAAGGAAATTGTTAAAAATTAAAACATCCGCTATGCTTTCTTGGCTTTGCAGTGCTTGTGCATAGGGGGAATGGAGATGCCATGAAATCCTCTTCTCTTGTAATAAAGTGGTTTCAAAGGATGCTTCGGCTAAGCTACCTTCAAAGTAGCAATTAATGAAAAGCCTTTTGTGGGCATTTAGCCACTGAAGGGGAGGCTTCTTCCTGCAATCTGCCTTTTCGGTCTTGTCTATGCCCCTGGGAGCCAACTGTGTTAAATAAGATACTGCATTAAATTCACATGGTATAATAATATATAGGTGAGTTGTCTTCTCCCAGCGTGTTCCTGACGCGCAGGGGGAAATGCTGATGCAGCGTGTGCTGTTTTGGCCTCTTCCAGCTACGGCCAGGCCGGCTCCAGAGCCCAGCCTGGGGCTGCAGGAGCAGGTGTGAATATAATAAAAATCTCTCAGAAAATGTAGGTGTTACTGACTTGTGTAGACATTAGCTGGGTGAGCGGAAGGAGCTGGAGAAGAACCTCTTCCAGCAGTCATCTGCTCCTTGCTTTTCACTGGTTTTAAAAAATTCCTGGCAATGAGACAGGTTTGGTCATCAGGGAAAGCGCTAGGTGAAGTTGTAACTCCTGGGGACACTTGAGTTTGGCCGCCTTGCTAACGCAGTGTTTGGACCTTCGTTGTCACTTGGAGCTGCTGCTTCAACCTCTCACATCTCATCCTCAAGTCAAAGGAGGGACTCGGGGAAAGCCTCCAATGTGCGTTCAGAGCTGTTTGACTGTCACCTTTGGTTTAAGCAGGACTGCTCAGCTACTTGGGGTTACGTCTGTGCCTAACTACTTGGCCTGTTCCACCAAATGACCTCTCTTAGTTTTTCCTGAGGGACCTATCACAGGTATCGTGGCAGTTGAGTGCTCCTGGCAAGCTTCTGCTGGGGAAGGATGATCCTGGTTTGTTAGAACTGCTTAAAGGATGGTTTTGCCAGCATTTTTTTTTTTTAATCTTTCCAATCAAAATATTTGTGTCTGCTACAGATCTGGAGGGACCAAGTGTTTCCTTTGAGTAACAGTCAATCCCTTCTGCTTGTGCAGTTTACCCAGACGGGAGAGTTTGCATCTCTATTCTCCATGCTCCTGGCGACGATCCCATGGGATATGAGAGCAGTGCTGAGCGGTGGAGTCCTGTGCAGAGCGTTGAAAAGATCCTGCTGTCAGTTGTGAGCATGCTGGCAGGTAAGGACTACATCCGTACAGCTGCTCTGATGTCCGTTCAGCTATTTCAGCTCTTTTAGGGCTTTTGATTACCTCCCTGAGTAGAGTTTAGCTTTAGCAACACGAAGGTTCTCAGCTGGAGTCCCCTGTGATCCACAAATCAGCTCCTTCTATTTCTACATGTCAGTATGCCAGGCTGGGAAACGTACCCCATTCTGCCGTCTCTGATTTGGAGGAAGCCTTCTTGAGAAGAGAGGCGTCCTGGATGACTTCTTGGTCACATTTTATGTCACCTGTAACCAGTCTCCATGTGATAAAGGTTTGGACGTTAGAAGCAGCGAAGCCGAACAAAGACAAAGCAGCAGATTCCATCTGAATTGTCAACGTGGGCGTACTCGCCTGAGCACCCTACCCATCGGTCCCCATGGATGCCCTTTAATGGCAGATTATCTGTGTTGTGCCAAAAAAGACAGGAGCCTAAGAGATCTTCCATGACCTAAGGTGTTTCCTTTAAGGTCGTTGCCGTAATCCCAAGCAGAGGGAACGTGCCAAAGCCACAGGAAAGCACCTGTGTGGAGGCTTTGCTGAAAAGGCAAGAGGGTCTTGCCAAATTTGCCAGCCTGACCACCTCTCTTCCCATCTTCTCGTTTCAGAGCCAAACGATGAAAGTGGAGCCAACGTAGATGCCTCCAAGATGTGGCGAGAAGACAGAGAACAATTTAACAAAATTGCCAAGCAGATTGTGCAGAAATCGCTTGGACTTTAAGCTCCCCAAGAGACTGCAGCGTTTGGCGTTTCTCTGCACTTGAGAAGGAGCAGGGCTCAGTGCTGATACCAAAAAGGCAAACTTTGCAAAACTTTTGGCCTAGTTCTTCTCGTTCATCCCATATTTACCATCTTTTCATTTTTTTTCTGCTTCCACTGCTCCCGAGAAGCCTCTAGTTCACTCACTAAATTGCATGGCAAAGGGATTTATTATAGGAAAAATAATGGGATCAGTCCTGTTTCAAAGGCTGTTTGTTGCTACCTCACTTCGTGGTATGGGAAGCCTGGAGACTTGGCAGTCTAGAGCTCACTTCGGTCCAGCTGCTGTTTGCAAACAGAGCTGTTTTTAGATCATCTGCTGGAAGAATTAGCTTTACCTTCATATGGGCTGCATTGCATCTGGAGCATCAGAAGGCAGAAAATAATTCTATACATTTTACGTTTAGGGAAGTTTGAGGGAATTGTTGAGGGAATTTTATATTGAGACAGCATTTGCAGTCGGAACTCATCTGAAGAGCTGGGTTAGCACGAGAGACTGTAAAACGAGGCTATAACGAGAAGGGTTTAGCGTAGAACATGAATTTGCACCATGTATTTTTAAAAGGAAAAGTTCTTAAGAGAAGATCTAGGTATTTGTTGCCAGTGGTGGTCTAGAGTAGGCTGAGATTCCCCTATTGCACTGTGAATCCGTACTGAGCCTTTGAGTCAGTGTTTGCTTAGAAGTCCCCCCAAAGTGCTGTGTTATTCCCTAACGACACTCAGTATAACCTCTGGTCGTGATTAGATGTGCAGCACGCGAAGGTTTTGCTCCTGTGCACCGAGGGCCAGCTTGTCTGCATCCGAAAATGCAGCACGCCGGGGAATGCAAGATACCTCCACAGGGTGCTGAGTACATCTCGGCACCGTTGGCCTTTGCTGCTAGAGCCCAGGTCATCTTTTCTTTTTCAGCAAAGACTGACTTGATGGATTTTGAGTGAATTATAAGATGCTTTCTAATGGCTGCCCTTGCACGCTTGAATTGGGCTCGGAGAAAACCTTAATTCCCTTTTTTAGAAGGGGAAAGGATGCACGTTTAAAACTGCCGGGTGCTGCAGCTGGCTTGTGGTGTGGACAGGGTGCGGGAGGGTGAGGAATGCAGCGATCCGTTCGGAAAACCGCTTCGGGACCGCGTGCGACCTGTGTGCTCCGCAAGCACATCTTCTCTGAGGGCCCGGATCTCCTCCAGCGCATTGCACGCAGCCCCGTGCACGCCGGTGGCGCGCGGAGCGGGATCTGGTCGGCTCCTCGTGCACGCGCGGAGCTCGCCGGTAGCTCGTGGGCTGCTGCCCGTGCTGCGTGTTCCTGTGCTGCAGCTCGCCGTGCGCCCTCCCAGCGCACCTCCAAAGGGCCCGCAGCACTCCGGCTTGCCGGCTTCACCTCCGTGTGCAAGTGAGCCCAGCTCTGGCGCAAGGGTCTGCGGCGAGGGGGACCCAGCCTAATTTGGGAGCGGAGACATAATGAATTTAGTATTGTACCTAATTAGTATTTCAGGGCTTACAGGAACATGTTACAGCGTTCATGTGCAAAGCGAGAGCATTTCGGGATTGGAAGAGACGGCGCGGAACGATGCAGCCTCTTTTGGAAACAATGCTGGGAGAGGTCTGCACGCCACATGGCTTGCGCTTCGTGAAGCAAACGTGGTAAAACTGGGCTCTTTTTTTTAAGTGCGGGGTATTTTATTCATGTGTGCAAACTCATTATCCTTATTTTAATGGTGGGGTTTAGTCTGTATACTGAAAATAAAGAGATTATATTTTCTCCTTTCTTATAAGTATGTATTTCACTCCTTTGTTTTTTTTTTAAAGAGAGTCTGGTGCCAACTTTGGCCAAAGGAGTCAAGGGGTTTATTTTAACACAGCTAAAACACTGGGAATGGTTTATAGAAGCTTTCCCGACAGATGTCCCATTTCAAGTGGTGGCGCGACCACTTAGTATTTCATAGGGAAAGTGTGAAAATCCTGTAGCCAGATGGGACCAAGTTTGCTGCTCAGTGAAGGTCTTGAGTTACTGTTTGTATCTGGCCTCAAGAAGGTCATGGCTGAATCGTATATTTTAATAGATGACTCTAAATACGTCAATATTTGCTCTTGGGTTTGAGAAGGAACAGTACATGTCCATCTCCTCCTGAGAACTGCCATAGTCCCTTAAAATTGCTTAAAAAGAAGACCCATGCTTGGGCACGGCACACGTTATCCCAAGGGAGTGCTGTATAACCTGGATCCACATAGACTTCCCTGCAGTGTGAGGAGTGTTATGGGCTTTTCCTGCAAGGATTTCAGTGTTCGGGCTTGCTCTTTAGAACTGGAGAACATCTCTTGGTGTTCGAGCTTGCAAAGCTGCTCCTTCGGTATGGCTGTAGCCTTTCCTCAAAGACTTAATCCTCTCCTTAATATTAACATTAGCAAGTTGGGTAATACTAGCCAGTAGCAACTTCTTTTTTTTTCCCCCTCTTTTCCCTGAGCTTTTTCACAGCCTGAAACAGCTACTGTAAAACACGTTCCCCAGGGAGCGCCGGGGCTCTACATGTGTTTATGCACGCAAGTATTAAAGATTAAAAAATTGCCCTTCTCTGGATCATGTTTGCTTTAGGCTCTTCTACCAAAAAGTGTCAACGAAGCTGAAAAAAGGCAAGCGCCGTCCTCTTCAAAGCCTGTTTTTATGCACGTGCGTGTGCACACGCTCTTTGCTTTCCTTCTTGGCAAAGGGATGGGTGCCAGGACACGCGTGCTGGGGTGCGGGCCGCTCGTTTGGGGCGTTTGAGGTGTGTGAGCGCGCGAGGGCTGCTCTGAAGGTGCAAACTGCCCCACGGAAGCACCAGCCGCTCGGCCTCTCCGCGGGAGCGTGGCTTCGTCACTAGGTGTTTGATTTGTGTTTATTCCCCGTTAATCAGCATTTGGGCATTGCTGTTAATTTTACCAATAGTAGTTTTAGCTGGCTTGTCTACAACTCAGGTTCTTTTAGTAGATGAGCTGTGTGACAAACCCGCTCAGTTTCCAAGGATACCTCCTACCTCCATGAGAGCTCTCCGGTACTAGGGTAGAGCAGGACAGTGCACATGCAGATGATGCTTCTCACTAGTGTTCCTGATCTTATACCCTACTACTTCTAGGTTATGCAGCGTCATGGGCACAAGGGGAGCTTGCAAAGCTCCTTGGCACTGCAGGGAGGAAACCCAGGGCTAACGTCCAGTCCTTCGGCCTTCCTGAGGTCCACGTAAGTGTACTGGGTGCTCCTGCAGCCCCTTGGGTGTGTGGACCTACTTGGAGATCAGTGCCTTCCCAAGGGACTCCAGCCCTGTCACAGTCTTAAATCTCGGAGCATTTTGCAGGGATCCCCGTGGATTCTGCAGTCGCCTCCTGCTCCATCTCACATGGTGGATGGTGTAGGAGCCAAAGGACAGGCGGCTTTTGAAAGCAGCTCCCACGCCCCGAGATGGGACAGGAGCAGCAGTTAAGATTATGGGGTTTGTTAATATATAATTAATGGTAATAATACGATGGCGAATTATTATAGGGTGGCTGCCTCTGTTAGCAGCACGTGCGTGAGCTGCCACAGAGCTGCTGGAAGCCGCAGCACCGAACGAGCAGGTGTGAGAGATCATGTCATTCCCAAAGGAGGAGGTGAGTGAAGTCCTGGGCTGAGTCCCCATCATCTTTCTGCTGTGGTCCCCGCTGCTCTGCGGTGACCCCTCCGCCAGGGCCAGTCCTTTCCGCGGAGCTGGAGCAAACCTGGAAGGAGGAGGAGGAGGAGGGAAGAGCACGTCCCTCCCGCGGTGCTTCCCTTTGAAGGGCTCGGGAGGCAAGGCCGACGTGCCCGCCTGTCTAGGGCCTGTGGGATGACTCTGTAAGGTGGGTTCAAAGCTGTGGAGAAGCAGGATGCAACATGCCAGAAGGTGGTGGTGGGGAGCCCACGCTTTTGGGTGCTGGGCCCAGTGCAGGGAGTATCTCCACCCACCACCACTTTGGGAGTCTTGCCCTGAAACAAGTTCTCTCTTTTTTTTTTTTTTTTCCAATGCCAAAACAGTTGGGCAAATTGAACCTATATTTGGGCTGGCAGCATGACAACTTTCGGGGATTCGAGAATTGTAGCTGGTCCTGGTCTGTGGTTCTCCAGGATGCTTGGAAGGGATGTGGGAGCCTGGTGGTAGACTCGGGTTCTGGGAGGCCAGAGACCTTGCAAGATCTCTCTACTTCAAGAGATGGATGTTTGGCTGCTAAGAGACAACTCAATCAGGCGTCATGTGGACCCCACTACCACTGTGGAGTGGCAGATGGGAATCGGTGTGCTGTGTGGCTGTGCTGGGGCTATGTGGGCATCTCATCGGTGCTGGTTTCGTCAGTGCATCAATCCCACCAAGCCTGCTTAACAAGAGATATAAAGTCTTCACCTCAGGATGGAAATAGTTGGAGAAATCAAGAACAAGAGCAAAGTAATGGCTACGAAGGGAGGAAAGGGAAAAAACGGGGCAAGAGAGGAGCGGTCACCAGCTTGCTGCTCCTGGGCTGCCTCTCTTAGCTGAGACCGCACCGCAGTGTCAGTCCTCAGGGCCGCCTTTCCTGCCATTCATCCTTCCAAGTCGCTGGGAAACAGGAGAGCACGGGGCCGTGATGCAGTTAGTGCATCTGTGCTGATGCTCCCAGTGACTGGTGAAGCCTCTGAGGTTTGAGACCAGCCTCTTTGGCTTCCTTGGGCTTGCTTGGAAGTCATCTCTGGAGGGTCCTTGCTCGGAAAGAGCTGGGCTTTTCTGAGCTGCCCTCGTGCTCTTTCCTTCATGCTGGGCCAGCAGTTCTTGTGGGAGAATGTGGGATGCCAGACTGGAGAGACACTTAGGGATTGAGTTTGGACCCTTGTGCGTTAAATACCTTCTTCTATAGGAGCCCAGTGTCTTAGGTCTTTCCCAGGTAACTGTTGATCAGATGGCTTTGCTGCTTGTTTCTTGCCTGTCCTGTGGCTCCCATCTTCGTTCTTCTACCCCACCAGGAACTTGCAGTCAAGCTCCTTGGACCTTGCACCATACAGTCAGCCCGATTTACTCAGTGGGCTGTCCCCACACGTCCTGCATTTTGTTTGCAGCTTGTGTTTCCAGAGATTCTTCCCCCAGACCTTGGTGAGTTGGTTTCCACATGGCGTGGTGTGCTGGGGGGCTGCAGAGTGGGAGCTGCTTGTTGGTACCAGTGCCTGGGGACACAGCCCTGCTCCGTGGGTGGCAGAGTGGGTAGAGGGAGAGAACGCGTGACCTGGATTTGCAGGTGAGAAGCATCTTGATGCTCTGAAGTACCCTGCTGTGCTGCTCAAGCTCGCCTTGTTCACCCTGTCTGCCCGGACCCCAGCTCCATCAGAGTCTTTGCTGTGGCCAGAAGAAAGAGGGCAGGCCTGTTGCCTTCCTCAGGCAGCCTGGACTCTGATCTGGTCCTCCTCACGCCCTCCCCTTTCCTCCTGTAGCAGCAAGTCATCAGCCTGCTGTGCGCTGGGCTGGGTACTGTGTTACTGCACTGGGATGGGAGAGCAGCTCCCAAAACGTGGCCCTGGTGGGGAGGAGTCAACGCGCAGGTTAAGGGTAGAGAATCCCCTAAAAATCCTCTGCTTGCTTCCTGACACTGGCCAGAGCCTGGAGTTGGTCCTCTTGGTGGGAGGCCTGGGCTGACTCGTGGCTTTCCTGGTCTGCAGCTGGGTGCTGCGCTGCTTTCAGCATTTGAGTTTGTCTGAGGATGAAGGTGGCCGCAAGGTAGCCACCACATGGTTCCCTGCCTGCTCTGGCCGTGTGATGCCAGGTCTCTCTGGGCTGCTGGGGATTTGGCTTGTTGGCAATGTCCTTCAGGGCCTCAGCAGATAAGGAGCTGCTGTGTGGCTTTGGTGGATCCAATTCTGTCTCGTCTACAAGAGAACAAGTCCCCTGTCCGTGCCCACAACAGGGCCCTTAGAACGGGTTTAGAATATCACTACACAAGGCCAAACACCAGGGATATAGTTGGTGGTTGGTGCCACCATTGACTGTGGACTGTGATGGCAGGGAAGGGGATGGGAGGTCTGGGACAGGACGTTTGCTGAGGGAGCTGGTGCATGGAGAGCTGAGGCTTTTTCCCAGCTGGAGGAGGTCTGGGCTAAGCCACAGATGTGAGCTCACAGCTCTGTATGGCCGTGGGCACAGGAGACGAAGGGAAAGGGCCGTCCCTCTCGTGGCACTCCATGATCTTCTCTGGCCTTGTGGCCAATGGGATCAGCACTGTCCTCCCCAGGACCCTGGTGGATCCTGCTCTTGGTGTGCCAAGAGCCTTGGTGATGGGATGTGCTCGAGATGTCCCTGCCTGATCAGGGGGGTTGGACTAGATGATCTTGAGAGGTCCCTTCCAACCTCAAGCATTCTGTGATTCCCATCCC